GTTTCACAGACCTTATGAAACTGAGACTTCTGCTCCTCTGATAAATACGGCTGAAATTGGCCCACAAGTTCAAAGCTGCTGGACAGGCAAAAATGTAATAACATAGGCCTTGTTATGTTAAAAAAAAAAAAAAAAATTAAAAATGGAAATAATAGTAAGCAATCTGGGAGTTACTTCTCAGTAAGAGTGACGACATCTTATGAAGACACAATGCTTCCAGCTACTTGAATTCAGCAGCAGAGCACCAAGGATGGCTGAGTGCTTGAAGAAGATTAGCAGTTCTCAAATACCCTGGTTAAGGGGAACTAAGGGTTATAGGCTTTCATTCTAGTTTACTTGTACACATTAAGAAAGTGACCAAAAAGACTTGGGATGTTAATTGAAGAAATATCAAGTTACTTAAAATAGGCAAAGAATGAGAATAAACCAGTAGGGCTTTATAAAAACACTTACCTGAATTTCTGGACGGTTCAGAAATCAGTTGTTAAGTCATCGGTAAGGGAGTTGATTTGCCCTGGCAATTATTAGACCAAAGGGGGTTTGTAATCATGTCTGTTAGCAGCGTGTCTTTCCTTAATTTATTCCTTAGAAATACACTGGTACATTTTATATTTGATCTTTATCCAGAGTGTGAGAAGGGATTGTGTAAGAACATCTAATCATAATAATCTCTATTAATTTTTTTAGTATGTTTAGTAGTATAAAAATTAACTGTGAGTAACATATTGTGAAAAGGATTGAATTTATCAAAAAGGACTAGATTTTTATATCCTCAGACCACTTACAAATGAAAGATCCTTATCGAAGTCCCTGAGCCCTTGTTTAAGCTTTTGAATAAACCAAGATTTCTCTTTTATGTCTTCCTTTCTGCAGCTTTTGAATGGAATGATTAAACAACGCAAATACACTTTGAAAGGAATCTTTTATACACTGCTTAACACAATGATAACAATTTTCATCAATTCTTTCAAACTGTAGGTGACGAAATTGTTGGAAGAACTGAAAGAGGCTAAGGAGAGCCAGAGTCCTGAAATGAAACACTTCTTGTGCCTGGAAAAGAAAATCAAGCATATAGAGACCAGACATGCAGAAAGAGAGCAAGAAATTCAAAAGGTACACCAGAGTCTACCTGCATTTACTTCTCAAGAGCAATTTGTCGGTTTAACTATAATTTTACCGTATTTGTGCAGGCTCATTTAGCTCACGCTGCAGGAGGGGGGAAGTAGTTTTTGATACGGCCATGGTTTTGTCTTCAGTGCCTGCTGATGCAAGTGAAGGTGGATGCAGCCCTAGTCAGCACATCCTTGCTGTGGTAATTAAGATTGCTCGTGCATGGCTCGCATGTCAGGTGTGCAGCTTCCCTGCAACCGGATCTAAGGAGGCCTTGCTTTGGCAGAGGGTTGGCCCGCGTGACCTCTGGAAGTCTCTTGTGTCATTCAGTTTTTTCATATTTCAGTTGCATATTGAAAAATTGACAAGAGTTTGTAGCGCAGAGCTGTTAAGCTATGATATATTCCTCCACTGAACTGGAATTTTATTTTCTAGTCTTAGAAGTCCCATTCAGAAAAGCTGCATTACAAGTATAGAAACATCTTGTAGCAGTCTACCACTTGCTGGTTTTAATACCCAAAACAACAACAAAAAAAGCCTTTATCCTCCACAAACTAAAAATTTTGGATCTTGAAGGTTGGATCTTTGTGATACAGCTTCTTGTATCTAACATTTGTGTCCCTTAATACAATTTTGCATTGATTTGTTCATCTTATTTGATTGTCACGGCCTCCATCCTAATTTTTCATCTGTCAGGGGAGCTTCTATCATCTGGAAACAGTTTTCTAGTTCATACAGAATTTTTTTTTTCCTTAACACTTTCATCACTTACATATGTGACTGTCTTTCATTAGCGTGTTAACTTAGGTTTCACTTAAATATATGAAGTCAAAGAAGGGCTGTTGGACTGGAAGATCATCAAACCTGTAGTAGTTCTTAAGTGTATGGAGTTTGTTCTACAGGTTGGATCTCAAGGAGTTCCCTTTTATGTACAGAACTGTTTGTGGTAGAAGGTCTCATCCATTTCTATATCAGATAATTAATTTTCTTCCCAAAAAGAGCTGTGCATAAAACAAGTCACTGGATTAAGAACAAATCCTGCCACCACTGATGATTTTATTATTTTTGTTCACGTTCTGTCCTGCGAAAGGCAACTGCAATAGTTACTTTTTTAATGCTGTTTATTTGCCTTTGTGTAACCTGAGAATTTCTTTACTATTTCTGTAAAGTGTCTGCTGCTGCCTAGTCTGTGATCTGTCTCCACTGAATCCATTACCTGACCTACAGTATTCACTAAGATGTCTTAAGCACTAATGTCTTTAAAAAAAAAAATAGAAATAATAGTATATGCAACAATTACTGCTAAGTAATTTCATCTTTCTTGGTGCTGCTAGCCTTGTTATTAAGCTTTGGGGTTTTTGTCCTAGTTTTGTGCCTTTAATCATCTGCACTGAGGCACTGAACAGGCCCCAAACGAATGATAACAAAATGAACAATGTAGAAAAACTAATTGCTGAACAAGGAAGTAACAGGTTATCCCTTAGTGTCAAACTACAAATACAATAATTATGGCCTTTAAGGGATAGAGCTTTCCTTAAAGAATCTATTACAATTAATAGAGGTGTGGAGATTTTGATACCTTGTGACACTTTTTATTTTGGGTAATTTAATAGGATTATGCCATGAATTAATGTCAATATGAATTAAAAGTTTTATCTACAGCAGCTTCAGACCTTTGTGACTATGGGATATTTTCTGATAATTCATAGAACCTGTGGGGGTTTTTAAGTGCAGTAGTAGCCCAGAACATGTCATTCAAAGTTGGTTTGTTTCTCTTGAAGAGTGTTCTTTTAATTAGTACATTTAAATGGCAATTCAAAAGGTTTATTTTTATTATAGAGGGGTCTGTGTTATATGCTCAGCTCTGTCTTAAATATTCAAACTTTTAATTGCTGCTTTGGAGAGGGTAAGTTAATTTCTCCTGAGACTCATTAGTCAATAATGGAGTCTACCCTTCTGTCATTAATGCAACTAGTTAAAGAAATTCAGTGCTATCAGAATGATTTTTGTAATATTCAGAACAAATTGTTTCCACTTAACGTGAGCCCTGGGCTTTGAGACTGAGCATCAAATAGAGTGACGTGGCACAGTTTTGCCAAGGGGCAGCACTGGCCGAGAACTTGACTACAAAGTCACGATGCTGATTCGCTTCCAATTTGCAGGCAGCCCAACGAACACAACATCTTACTGAGGCAAGGCAAACCCATGAGGTTGAGAAGTGGCGAAGACTGGCGCAACGGAAGAATCAAGAACTGGAGAAATTTCGAGTGGAATTGGATTCAATATTAGATGTTTTACGTGAACTACAGAAACAAGGGGTTGTTATTCCTGCATCTAATTCCAGTGGATTCAGCATGACAGACAGCTGTTGGAAGACATGATTAGGTAGGCGTTGATTAGAGAAGCAGAATTTTAACATTCAAAGTTATGTATAGAAATTATTACTGAAAATCATTAATGTTACACTCCTAAATTAAATTACATTCTGATCTTATCTGGAATCTTGCGTGTCCAAAGGTACATTTGCATTGACCAATGCCCCCGTCGCATTGTACATCTCATATTTTGTTACTAATAAAGTTACATGCAATTTTAAAAAATACTAGAAATATTGAGGTTACCACTGAAAACTTCCATTTGATGCTTTTTCAGATACTGTAGAACATGCCTGAATATATTTAACTTTTGTTTAAAACTTGTCTTCCAGTTATTCCTTTGTGACCAATTTGAGTAATCGGCTGTTTGGCCTGTATTTTTAGAGTCCAGAGTTACTATTTTTCATTCCGCAGGGCATGAAAATCCTCTTTTTCTAACACTTTGCTTCTCTCCCTCCAATTCATAAAATGTTCCTTCCCTTTAAGACCCCTTTCAACTTTGTGAGTGATTGGAAGGCTGGAGCAGAGCAGACAGTTGCTGGTGATGCTCAAATTCAAACTATTCTTTGTTTGCTTTGCAGATATTTCCAACTGTGCTGGTAAGAGTGATGGCAGAGTAGTCTAGCTGTCTTGCTGTGGGGCAGATCTGAAAAAAAGCCTTAAAGTACAGTGTGAGAGTAGTTACTGGTATCCCTTTTAAAAGGGAAGGCTGTATTAAGAACGGGCTGTTCTGGATCTGACAGACTAGTGTTGTTATAGATGATCTTGACAGAACGAAGAGGCCAGTCAATTGTGAAGACTATGTACTAAAGCTCAGGCTGCAGGGATACATTGGTGGGCAAATTCTGAGTTAAAATACTGAGCAAGCTGGAAAAGAGGCTAGGGAAAAAAACCCCAAACAACTCCTAGCCTTCGGAAGTGACAAAGGAGACTAGTACGCCTAAGCAGGAATAATCCACTACCCTAATACCCAGTGTGGATATAACTTTCTGTTGAGGTGACAGGCATCACAGCAGGTAACATGCTGCATGTTAGAGAGACCATTGCCTTCTCCCCCTCCTCCTGTGCCCTGCTGGAGTTATACACCAAGTATAGAGCCTGTAAGCTCTATAGATATAGATATATAGATATGTAAGCTATCTATAGATAGCACAGCAGCACTTCCTACTGCATCATGAACACGTAACTTAGTGTGCTAAGCCTTTGGTCCCTTGTTTCAAGAAAGAGATGGACCAACCAAGGGGAAGAGAACAACCAGCAGTCTAGGAAATGCAGCCCCAGGAACCACTGAACCCTCTCATCCAGAGAAGAGACTGGGGAGAGAAGGTGAGGATGGCCATTACACTTGTGTATGAGAAACCTGCTGCTAAAACGATAGAAAAAGGAGAAGCAGTAAGTCAAATTAAAGAAAATCCACTATAGATAGCTGTTTGGTGGCTGGAAGGACAGGTTTTCAAACAAACCAGTAAATTACTAGTTTGAAGTCTCAGCACTGAAAGTCCTCAAGAATTCCATAGCACATACATTGTGGTTGTAGCTCAATCAACTGTACTTAGGGCAAAGAGAAGACAGAAGCTAGAAAGTACTCCTCAGGTCCCCCTAGTATTGGTAATGCTAGCATTCCAGTCAAAGGTGATATAGTTCAGCTCTGTGTATATGTATTTGTGTCGTGCTTCTTCAGGGACCAGCAGTAAACATGCATTTTGACTTACACAAGCAGAAAGAACAAAACCGTATATATAACAAATCACACTGTATAGGCACAGACAATATTTGAGTGCAAGAATTATTTTTTTTGAACATACACAAAGTGAAAGAGAGTGCATACATATATCTATAGATATAAAACCAGGATGGTCAGTTGGCAATTAGTATCGTAATCTTGGTTGTTTCATATTCAGGTATTTTCAGTATGGATGTTTTGTCCCCTAGTAATGAAGTATTAGTCTGTATTCATAAAATGTGTAAATACAATCATGCTTTATAGATAAAGGACCAGCTATGTGTAAATATGCTGTATTTTCTTGCTTTGAGACTGTATGCAAATGAAAAGGATAAAATTGAATAATTTCAACTTACCATTTATTTCCTGTCCCATTTGCTCTATGTGTAACACACTATTAAAGTGTGTGACCTGCAGTGAGATTTTTTTAGATTACAGCAGCCCGTATGTTCCCAGAGAGGCCAGGCCCTGGATGTAGATATGCTGGGGCACTGCCTAGGATAGGAGGGCCTCCGGGAGGCATTTCTGGTTGCTGGAAACACAATCAAATGTATGATCCTTAGGTTGTCAGGAGGGGGTTGCCTTAGTGTTCATCCAGTTCATTCAAACACCTTTTAAAATTCTTACATTCAGTTCTCAGCAAACTTAGAGTTTGAATTACATTTCAAATTAAATTCTCTCTCAAGAGTCTACTTTACTGAGCAGGGACAGTATTATTTACCATTACTGCAAGCTGTAACATGGTTAATACTGTGTTCTCATGTGTCTCTATGTAGCTGTGCACTCAGAGGAGCATGGTCTTTAGCTTTTGGGCATTTACCATGAAGTGGGCACTCCACACAGTAACAGAGTACCTTTGGTCTTGAATGGCTGCAGTCATGGCTTTCTTCTTGGAGAACTAAGGTCCAAGTTTTAACTTCTCTGCTAAAGTTATTAGTTCTTCAGTCCTCAGTCTCAACAGTACAGAAAGAGGAAAATACCTGAAATGGAGCAAAGGCTGATGAAACAGATCGTTAGCTTTTTACTGTATTCCACTAAGGATTTCAGTGTGATCTTTCAGAGTAATAGAATTATATACTCCTTGGGTATGTTTTTCCTCCTTTTATGCCACACTCTTTCATCATGCATTTCTAGGAGCTATTATAACAGATGGATTAAAAGAATCTTAAACATAATTTCTTTGAATCATTGTCTTATGTTTAGCTGGAATTAATTTGTTTACAGCAAAGCAGATGGAGGTAATATTTTGAATTGTCATGTTTGAAGCTTTTAGGAAACAAAGTGAGCAGCTGGCTGGGTGACTCAGTGACCTAGATTACAGGAAAGACATTTGCCTCAAGAGAAGAAAACAGAGTCTGCCGAAGGGAATCAGATCTCATCACGGCACTTGTGGCAGAGACGCAAGCAGTGTGTTCTATTTTAGATTCTCTGAAATACAAGTCTGTCACGGAGGCACCCACAGACCAAGCAGAAGCATCACTCGAACACCCCTACAGACCTGAGCAAACTGCAAGTGCAGATGCCAGGCAGAGGCACTCACAGAACAGACAGAGCAACTACTCCAAAAATGGGGATTTATTCCAACTAAAGTTAGATTGCACTCCAATAGACAAAAATAAGGTTCAGATGTCAATAGGGAATATATTACTACACAGCTAGCTTAAGAATTCCTAAATTATTCAAACAGACCTGTTAGGAAAATGATCCAAAATGTGTACTTGTTCATCGGGAAAAGGGGGAAAATCTCTCACTCAAGGCTATACCCAGAAGAAATCACTCACCCAAGATGAGGGGTGAGATGAGGAGTTTCCTCAGGCAGAGTCCCTGACTGCAGACCTGATGCTCTGAGGAGGACAGATTCCAATCAGCCCTGCAGCAGGGCCCCATTTTATACCCAAGTCAAGTCTGGCCTGTGGTAGTTTTTAATGAAGTTGGAACCAGCAGGAGCTGCGTGTTTTGTCTGGTCTTCTGAAAGACCTGCTCATTATCAGGTCTTTAGCAAGCCCAGGTCCTTTTCAGGTCCAGGCAGGGATGGGTACACCTGCCACAATGTCAAAATTGTTCATGTAACAAAATAAATAGGTTATCATGGATGAAGACTGCATTTGATAGTACATAATACATTTTGAAGTATCTCACTATATCCTGTATTTAACCTACTCTGGAAAAAAAAGAAGGAAAACAGATCTGTATAGTGGCTCTAGCTCTGCAAATCCAGTTCTGCAGGGAAGGGGGCCATGCATCAAGTACTGCCCTGACTCTTTGGAAGAGAAAGTCCTCTTGATAACTTTGAACTGTAATGCTTAGCCTTTCATTCAGCTATGTACCTCATGTCCAGAAGTAAGAAAGCACAGGCCTCTAACTCTTGCTCTTGTTGGAGAACGTGTTGTAGAAGGCTCTGGCTCTGTGTTGTCCTTGCTACTTGTTAATACCTGAGGCTACCAAGTAAATTCCATCCAGCTCTGCAGAATCTCTGGTTGATTTATTTAGCTTTGTCATTTTTCCCTGACAGAAGGATAGGGCAGATTAGAAGGGGAAAAGCACGTTTGACTTCCTCCTTTGCCAGTGGCTTCTGAAGAGTTTTGTGGTGTTCTTTTAATCACAAGTGGCAAAAAATGGCAGTATTAAAGTATATGATCTACAGCTCAGGTACATAAATACTACATCACATGACAAATCCACATAATTTACTTCACCTTTTAGCCTCAGAGACTGCATATCACTGGCTTTTAGTAGATAAGTTCATGGTTTTACCTTTCCCTTTGTTTTCACTACGAGCAAACATTTTCTGATTTTACATTGTAGTTTGTTTGGGTTGGTTTTTTTTTTTAAAAAAAAGGTACTCAACTAAAACTTGTTACACAGAAGAACATTTCACAAATATTCACCTTTGAAAACTGGAGTACATAACTTGACCTAGTAAATTCTTACAGAACACAATACATGTTTATGCAAACAAACATATGCCATTATCTTAGGGGAGCTCTCCATGAAGTTAAATCTATTACAGGTGATGCATTTATAGTGAGTTTTGAGAAGAGACTCTGAAACAGACATCCCTAGCAGTAAGAAAACTTGCAATAATTCAATTTTCAAACACCATTAAATTCTGATTACTTCCTTTGAAGTATTGCCCTAGTCAAAGCGCTTTCTATTCACCTCATAATGAACCAACTCACATTGGTTCCCTGGAAAAAATGTATGGTCAAAGCACTTTCTATTCACCTCATAATGAAACAACTCACATTGGTTCCCTGGAAAAAATGTATTTTTTAAAACATGTTATACAAAGGTGGTTATTACACCAATCCCCTGAGGCAAATCATATCTATTCTTTCTTTTTCCTTTCTAAGAACTAACGAAAAAATCTTTAAAATAACTGCTTTTTAAGACTGAGAAACTTTGCCTCTAATGCAGAGGCAGAGCAAAAGTCTGAATCAGACTGTGCTTCTGCCACAGTGCTTCTGAAGTCCTGCGGGAGCTGTGCAGTGGGGACTGCCAGGTTATTCTTCTCTAAAAAGCGGTGTGAAGGACTTTAAAGATAGAAGGGAAATAAGATGGAAAAAGAAGAACCATCAGGGAAGAACATAAGCAGGAACCAAACACTTAAATACCTTTACAGGATTAATTCATGCTTCAGACACTAAGAATAAATTCAAATGTGTGTAAGTTATGTTGGTATTATCGCTTGATCATTTTATTAAATACCTTTCATCTAGGTGTTAAGTGTCACCAGCATCCATACACATGCATACTTCTCTTTTCTCCCCAAGCCAGCAGTTATGGACCCAAACAAAAGCCACAAAGATTTAAGGTAACAGAAGAAAAGCTTAGGTTAGCCCACTGGGAAGAGCAAGCTTTTCTTTTTCTAAAGCCAGGCCTGCATTATTTTGAAACCTAGTTTTAAACGCTTTAAAAATAGGCTTCATTTCTCAATTGAGAGGGGAAATGGATTCTACACAGATTTTCCCCTCATTTAAGCAGCATTTTTCTTTAAAAGCATGGCAAAAGGAAAAAAAAAATTAAAATTAAAGATCAAACATCACTGAAGGCAGCTCACTCATCCAGAAACCAGCCATAAAGGCCCCATTTAGTAGAAGTCCCAGAGCGTGTTAGCAAGAGCAATACTGAGCTTCAGTTCAGAAACAGCGTAACCATCAGAGAGCTAACAGTTGT